TTGTTCCATATGCTTTTTTTATTTATTTGTGAATGTTTGTAAATGATTTAATGGATAATATTCCTAAAAATGATTTTTGATAAGAATTAATTTTTACCTTTTGTAATAATTCATCCTTTGAAAGTCTTTTTTGAATCACTTCAGGACAATGAAGATAACAGATATTCTTTGGAGTGTCCGCTTTGTTATTATTGCACAAAGAATATGAATTGGTAATGATGGGTGCTATTAGAATAGGTGGAGCTGATTCACATTTTGGCACTGTTTCTTTTGGCGCTGTTTCTTTAGACTCTGGTTCTTTAGACTCTGGTTCTTTAGACGCTGGTTCTTTAGACTCTAGTTCTTTAGACGCTGGTTCTTTAGACTCTAGTTCTTTAGACTCTGGTTCTTTAGACTCAACTAATTCAGTTGCTGCAGTCGTTTTCACGTTGAGATCAATCTCAACAACTTTCGTTAGTGACATGGTGTTTAGGATTGTTAATTCAACGAATCGCACAGCTTTTATAAATCCCCTATAAAGTTATGTGATACCCAAATAGTGATGATCGAAAAGTGAAAAATTGCATCATGTTTGTGTTTCCTTTGCCATTACCTCTTAAAGACAAGCATGTGTATGTTGTCATTAACGTTTAACCACACTAAATCACCATATATAACATAGGTAAAGCGAAAGATTCTATATGATAATGTATTCGTGATTTATGATGATTCTGTTGTCACTGAATTGTGTCACTTTAGGAATTAAAAATAAATTTAGATTGAAGTGAAATTTTGGTCAAAACTATCAAATCATAGATCATTTGGTCAAAATTATCTATAATTCTGATCCTCGTTAATAATGATGACTAATTGAAATCTCGATATAATGGCATGATTTTTACTGCGTTCCCGATCTATCGCTACATCGAGTTTTGACTGTATATTATATCTATCTATTGTTGAGATTTATATTTATTTCGTTATTAGAGGACAGATTTTTAATTAAAATTCAAATGATAAGGTAAAATAATTGAATTGAATTGTGTGATGATTTTGCTCGAATGTATATTGTATATGTTGATGTTGCCTGCAACAATAATGATGAAAATGATGATTAAAAACAGATTGAACGAATACTGATAAATGAATAGTCTTTCTTAAATTACATATTAGAAAAAAGGTAAAAATTAGAAAAAGAGAAAAAAAATGTCTACATCCTCCTTCTACAATCCAATATTTTTCCATATTTCCAGTTCAACAACAATAACAGCATCCGCTACCACGACCACCACTACTTCCAACACGACACAACATATTTGACACCTGACAAGTAAGTATCAATGCACCGATAATCAACAACGCTATCCCGGAATAATGTAATGCATTATAAACCCCCTGCTGACATACATTGCTACACGTATGTGACGCATCACTAGTGGCGTTATTGACCGTACTATTAGCCGTTGATAATAGACTTGGTGCTTGAATATTGGATGTTCCATTTCCAATCAATGTACCATTATTTGAATTTGGATCGCATAAACCGCTACATTTCGAAGGCAATGTGCGTGAATAGGTGAACAATGTGATACCACCTAATAAAAATAAGATTGCTATTATTATTAAAAATAGTGTACATGAACATCGGATGCAACCGCATACGGAACAACAATCTGCAAAATAGGTGTCGTCGTGGTCGTGATGATCTTTACGACGACCACCACCTCTTTTTTCTCTTTTATCTCCATATGTTGGAGCTATTATTATTGGAGCTGGTGCCGGCGCCGCCGCCGGTCGTAATGATGATGATGAGGGAGGCGAATGAAGTTGTGGTGTAGAGTAAGCTTCCGGTTTTGATGGCACAGGTCCATTAACCGGCGACTGAGAATGATGTCGAGGAGAAGGCGGTCGTGGTGATGATGCTGAGTATTGTTGTTGAGGAGATGAATGTGTCTGTTGTACATTTGTTCGGGTATATGGCTGAGTTAAATGAAGATTTGCATTCGAGTAAGTAGCGGTCGAGTAATCAGGATTATTTGGTAAAGTTGCATGAATTTGATATGGTGACGGAGAAGGTTGGTATGGTGATTGATATTGTTGAGGAAGTGGTGGTGGAGATTGAGATGTTATACCTATTGGATGTGATGGTGGCGTTCTGGATGGATAAGAGTAATTTTGTGTAGGGGGAATAGGAGGAATATTTGATGGATATGAGTTATCAATGGAGCGAGGATTATTATAATGTCCAGATGGAGGAAGATTATTATGGTCAGGAGGATAAATTTGTGTTGAAGAATTTGTGAACGGTTCAGGCATCGACGACGTTGTCGGTTGAATTATTGAACTATTACTATTATAATAGTCATAAGGCAATTGATTTTTATTTAATGGTGATGGTTTTGGATGATAATTTTGAAGATGATACTCTCCGCCTACATTATAGTTCATTTGAGGTGGATGTCCTTGATTATAATACTCTCCTCCTTCGCCTCTTCGGGGTGATCTACCATCACTATTATAGTTCCCTGATGAGGAGGGCGGTATTTGCCCATCTTCCATTTTATACTCATTCTGCGGAGGAAAAGATTGTGGTTGAGGTTGTGGTTGTGATGAAACTAATGATACAGACTGTTGTACTTCATCTTCTTCGAAATATGCGTATTTTGGAACATCATTATTTCTATGCGCCATTTGCTCTTTTGCTTTGTTTTTTAACTCGTCAAGTTAAAGTAATATTAATCTTTTTACGTTCTGTAAAAGAAATATAGAGTGTATATGATAAGATAGTTGTTCAAAAATATATTATTCATTGGTTCCTTTCAATCTAGTCCCAATTCACTTACTTAAAAATTTAATAAACACAAACAAAAAGATGTATATGCAAAAAAGCTAGCACACAGTGTCGGTTAAAAATTGTCTCGGACAATCGAAGGCAATGGTAATGACAAGTAGCGGTAATAAAGTGTTTATATGTTTGATATTTTGTTTTTTCGCTTCCAGCGTTTATACAAATTATATGCAAGTATAAAGAATATGAACGCGCGAGGAAAAATATTAAGTCGGAAAAGGAGGATTTTTAAAGAATGAACGCTCTCCCGTTCGAACCAAGTACACGTGCTCTTATATTGCTCATAATTTTGGTTAATCATTAATCACTCACACAATCCAATGAACACAAAAATAATACACCCCTGTTTTGGTGATCACCCATTTTTGAAATTTATAAGGACAAAAAATTTGTTTCTCGAACTAGTAAAAAAAGACAAAGGGAATCATATTTGGTTGAGAAAAAGGCTGTTATTATTCAATTCACACTTTTCTTCAATTATATCAGAAGTGGAATATGAAGATAAAGAATTAATCAAACAGTTACTATTGTGAATAAAAAAGAGAAACAAGTTGAAATTACAGTTTCAACTATATGAAAATCACATAATACAGTCATACATAAAGAGAATTTGACTCGGAAGAATTCAAAATTTCAAATATTGCTATTATTAAGAAAATAAACTTGACCAGTGCAGAGAATACAAGAGAGAGTGATAATTATTCTGATAGAAATACTTTTTATTATTATAATATTGATATGTTTAATAATAAATAATAATGTTATATAATCGGTACAGTTAAAGATTAAGATTTGAAATATTTGATTGGTAAATATTGTTCAAATATATAAAATTGAGATTTTTTTATTTACTAATATTATATATTTAGTTAGCATTAATTATAAATAAAAGATCTAATCAAAATAGATTTAAATAAATAGCAAAAGTAATAATTAAGAAAAATTACTATAATTTTTTCAGTTTAATTATTTTTAAAAGAATAAATCTTATATAGTATAAAATATTATTAATTAATAATTATTTTATAATTCAATTCTAAAATTATATTATTATAAATTATTATTAAAAAATAATTTAAATTCAAGTAAATTTATAATTATACTTATTATAATTATAAAGAAGAAGAATAAAAAATTTTAATTATATATAAATTATTAAAAAATATTAGTATTCTCTTCTTTATATTAATAAATTATTAAATAAATTTAAAAAGATAAAATATTTTACTATTATTAAATAAAATTAAAATTAAAAATCAATATAAAATTATATTTATTATAAAACAAGTTTTTTTTAAATATATTATTTTTAAAATAATAAAAGATATAGTTAAAAAACAAGAAATATTATTATTAAATTAATATTATTATAAATAATTCTTTTTAAATATATCTTTCTTAAAACTAATTATAAAAATATATTTAAAAAATATATATATTTAAAAAATAATACAAAAATATATTATATAATATAATTATATAATATATTAAATATTTTATATAATTATAATTTATAGATTATTATAGTAATATTAAATTACTAATAATTTTTATACTATTTTTATTATTATAAAATTAAATAATCTTAATAAAATAATTATTTATATAAGATTATTATAATTAACTAATTTTTTTTTCTTAATAAACTTTTTATAATTTATCTAATAATTTTAATTACTTACTTATATTCTTTACTAAAATAAAAATATTTTAATATTATTTAAATTTTTTAATATTATATTAGTTATAATTATCAGAATTTCAATATTATCAATATTATTATATTTATTTCAAAATAAATATAAGTTTTTAAGACATATTTTGAGCTTTAAATTAGAATTATACTTATTTTTAAATATATTTTTTTGAATAATAAATATATAGTATTCACAAAAAATATTATTTAATTTATATATACAATTATTTTTTAAAAATATATTTCACTTTTTTTATAATAATATTACTTTATTTACTTGTTATTATTTTGTTAATACTGTAATTTTATTAAATTAAAAAATAATATTCATCTATATATAACTTAAAAAAATTAAAAAGAAAAAAATTTTAATATATATAAATATCATAAATATTATTGAAATTGCAAAAATACTTAAATATGATCTTACAATAATATATTATTTTCTAAATAAATATAAATAAATCAAAAAAATAAAAACTTATTATATTTAGAAAGATTATTAATCTTGAAAAAAATTTACTTATATATAAAATTAATACTTATCTCTTATTTTTTTCAAATGAGATTATATCTGAAATAATTAATATATTCTTCTTTAATATTATTCTAATATCAATATAATATATAAAATTAATATAATTAGAATTTTTTTTCATAAAATTTTCAATAAATTTACTTTTTTAAATCTTTTTTTCTTTTTATATTTAACTATAAAAACTCATCTTGAAATTTTTAAAACAATATTATGCTTTTGTTCTTTTAATTATAATGAATTTATTATATAAAATAACTATCAAACTTATTTGATATCTGTAATATTCTTTATCCTTTAGTCTTAAGAAATTATTTTATTTTTTGTAATAGTTAAAAAAATCTAAAAGTGACTATTTATCTGGATTATATAGCTATCCAAAGAAATCATAGTGAAAAGATAAAAAAATAAAAAATGAAAAGATATCAAAATATATTCTAAGAGTTTCATATTTTCATTTTATAGATTAAGAGTATAGTAATAATATAATTAAAAATTTAATATAATCTTAAATAACAAATTATAACTTATTAATATAAATTTTTAATAATAAGATATGCTAATCAATAAGAAATCTTTTTGATTATTACAATACACAAATATAACAATCTGTTATTCATCTCTAACTAAAAAAATATTTTCTTTACTTCTCTCTAACCAGTAATAATAATCAAAAAGATTTCTTCCAGTTTCTGACCTTTCATTTAATTACTATACAAGATATACTTTCCAAAATATACTTATATATTCAATTATTTTTAAGACTTAAAACTTCTAAAATACTTATTATTTATATTAAAAATATCTATTATTTGGTCTTACAAATAGCAAAAAATTATTTATATAAGTTATATCTCTGTATTAAGATGTTATACTATTCTTGTAATAAGAAGTGAGATATTATACTTCTTCTTTAAAGATATTATACTAGTTACAATTAGAAATTCTTAAAGACTTTATACTATAGATCTATATATTAAGATGTTATACTATTTTTATAATAAAAAGTAAAGTATTATACTTCTTTTCTAAAGATATTATATTAGTTATAATCTAGATCTATATAATTAATTTACAAAATATTTATAGTTAAAGTTATATGATTACTAATAATAATAGTTTTTTATCAAGAAAAAAAAATGTAAAATTTTAAAATGAATAAAACTTTATTAATAAAATTTTATTAATAATTTTTTAAATATATATAACAAATCAAAAAATACTAGAAATATATAATACTATTAAAGAAAGAGAGAGTATACAGATTCTAAACTATTTAATATAAATTATAGTATCAAGTTATTTCTTTACTCTCAGATTTCTTATAAATTTCTATATTTAACTTATTTTTATCTACTTTGAGATTCTCATCTCATATACTAGATTTTCAAAATAAATCTCTCCTATATCTTATATATTCATTATAAGTTCTGCAATAAAACTTCATCAAGATGATAAATTTTTGAATTTATAGCAAAAATTCTAGAAATTAGTAACTGAGATAAAAATAAATAATATAATATTTTCAATTTATACTTATTACTATAATTTATTTTAATAGTATTTCATTCTGTCTTATATTTATAAAGTTTGTTGCTTAATGTGTTAAAATATTTTAATTTTTTTATCACAAATATGATTCTGTATCAAATATTAAAAATTTGATGCTTGATATACTGTACAAAATTACTGCCTGAATAAAGATTTTGATAGAGAGCTCTAGCTAAATTAATTATATAATTTTTTCTTTGTATTTTACTATAATCATAATTTTCTCAAACATATTAAAAAAATTAAGAATAATAATATATCTGCTTTAACTTTGAGTATCTATAGAATTAGAAAAATTAATTAACATTATGATGTTCTAAAAGCTAGTTAAGTAATAAAAATAATTTATCTTATTATAACTTTGCAGAATATATGAGTTAATTTTAATTATTAATTTTAATAATATTAATGATAAGTTTTATTTTTCATTTGATTTTTGCTTTATATAAGGTAAATAAATAAATTTATTAACTGAAACATTACTCTTTTATATTATTTATAGGATTAATTTTGAAATACACTTTTAGGAAAAATTATATTAATATGAATATATCATAAAAATCTGATCAACAGCTTCTTCTTATAGTAGTCGATATAAATATTTGGAATATCAATCTGGTACACAAAACATCACATAATATTACCAATTTTAAACTAATACGTGTATAAAATTAGAATTGCTTTATTTAATAATAAATACAACAATATAAATATTTTTGTTGTCAGTTTTTGCACCTGTTAACAAAAAAATAAAAAAAAATGTCACACATTTTCAAGCATGAAGCACAAAGAATGATGATAAGTTAGCTTTGGACAAATAATATCCGGAAACCTGCAGAAATTATGCAAATAATAAATTTTCCTAAATCTATGATATATAATATAATCAATCGGATTAAAAAATTATTAAGTATTATGCCACTTCCCAGATTTGGAAGACCTCCAATTCTCATAGTTGAGTAATGTTACATCCTTGGTCAATTAGTACAGATCAATAATACTATCACTACAGCTGAAATGACTGAAAGACTTAAATAAAAAGATCCTAACTTGAAAGTTTC